TGATTGAGGTCGCAGTACTGCGAAATAGGAGAACAAACCTCAAATTAAGCAATGGACGGTGTCTTTGCCCAAGCCGGTGACCTGAGCTGAACTCATTTAGGAGGAAGAATTGCCTGGGTGTTCCATACGTCCCGCGTAAGAACATTTAAAGACATCAGTTGTTCTAGAATGACTGGCACAAAGTCAAGTTCGCAGGGCGTGTGCTCTTAGAATTTCAAGAGTCTTTTGCAATATTCAGTTCAGTTTCAGACTATCTCAGTACGGCATTGAACCACCTCAGCATCGTGGAGTAAATCTACCAAACAATCGATAGTCCATAGATGGATTCTATTGCGGATACCATTCCTCGGTTTATGACAAACTTGGTTTTTACCAGTTCTGGACCCGAGGCTCCGACAACGGCTTTCAGATGTTAAATCTGATCATAATAAACACTCTAAACAGGTTGCGAACAGAGTGGACTCCGGTAAAATATTTACAATGAGGCAGCAGGATAAATGTCTTCCGCGGAAGATTTAGCGCGTCGCTGAACAACAGTCACTACCACAAGGAAAATGTTAAATTTTCAAGGCAACTGTCTAATGCCCCAAAACCTTGGTCCACTTCATGTTTTTCAATTGGTAGAAGCAAAGGACACAGCACTATTACCGGTAAAAAAAAGCTTTGAAAGTATATCTCATCAGAGTAAACTAACAATGCGGTTTATTTCTAGACAAGCAGGCGCGTAAGGAGTGCGCAATGACCGCGAGAGGGCAGTTTAATGTTTGGAGGGTTGGTTTCCACATCACGAGGTTTTCGATAAGGCCTCTTGATTGCTTAAGCCAATGGGTGGTTGCATTACCCATAAACCACAAGGCACAGTTGGCCAACGTATGATACTGTCCAAGCCACCCTCAGAAAGATTTTGTTGGAGTCTATAGGCTGAAGTACACGAGCAAGGACTGCAAAAGCAGTAGGAAGATCGGAGGAGGAATACAAAGTCCACTGGACAATCAGGAAATATTTTAAGTGCGTTAATGGTTAGAGCATCGGGTGGGGACACCACTTTGGGTTGGGTATAACTGACTGATGAGCCAGAAATGGCTATTCCAGTTTGCCTTCTCTTTGCAGGCAATACTATCTGCCTAAACTGCTGGCGGGGCTCGATAATGAGCCCCAAGGCAGAGAGCGGGACTAGTGAGTACCGTTAGCGACCGGTGAACGAGTGTCAATCAAGAAATGGTTGGTCGACGTCCCCACCCAAACCCGCAGGTCATCAAGCAGAGGATGAGTATACCTTTGATTTTTAACGGGATTAATATGTTCGGTGGAGGCACTAGGCGGTCCGGACGGCCCAAGCTGGAGGGCAGTTTACGACCGCCTGATCCAAAACAACTCGGCAGGATATGTCTGCCCCGGATTTAGCTAGCTTTGAGATATTTCTTTAACCAAGAGGGTTGGACCCGGAAAACGGGAGTTCCGTCACCACTCTGGCCAGCTAAAGTAAGTTCACGATTAATCGTTTTGCGACCCCCCCCCTCCCTCACCCCCGCTGCAGTCTACCCCAAGCCCTATTTAATGCAGTTGAGTCAGGGGAACCAGCGGAAGGGAAGTCAGACCGGATGTAACCCAAGTCGGACAAGAAAGTAGGCTGGTATGAACGCTTATGAACGCGGACGAAGAAACTAAAGGTGAAGACGAACCTGAGAGACTTGCAAAACGCAGGCGGGCGTGAAAACAGATGACGTGGATCGCGCAGACCGGATATGAAC